GGGGCGGCAAAACGCCCGCGCACCGCGCGTCACGGCTGGCAAAATGCCCGCGCCTCGCACGTCAGAGGCAGAAAAGCGCCCGCGCACAGCGGGGCGGCAAAACGCCCGCGCACCGCGCGTCAGGGGTGGCAAAATGCCCGCGCATCGCACGTCAGAGGCAGAAAAGCGCCCGCGCACAGCGGGGCGGCAAAACGCCCGCGCACCGCGCGTCAGGGGTGGCAAAATGCCCGCGCATCGCGCGTCAGGGGCAGAAAAGCACCCGCGGACCACGTGTCAGGGTGGAAAAATGGCCATACCTCGAGGTGGAGTTCGCACATCGAGGTAAATTTTTGGGGCCGGAGCTGGTTGTATCTCAAAAATTTCGTAAGTTCATAAGTAGAGGTACCACTGTATTCCATAAATTATTTCTTGCATTTGTTTCATTTTTGTTGCAGACTATCATAAAATTGATTTGCAATAATAGGAAGACAAATTTATGCACGTCATTCTCCCCATGGATAAGCAATGAAGTGGATGCAGTTGAAGTAGCCTCTATGTAATAGATTTATATGAAATGGACCAAAAGTAGTATAGCAGATGGCTTTTGTGTTAGGTGGGATACCCATGCTGTGTGGTGAATTGTGCTTTATTAGACAGTTGCTGTTGCCAATAGCATGATATATAATCTGTTTTGTTTTATAGGCTAACTTTGAATTGGACTTCATGTTTGCCTAGACGTTCTGGAGTTTCCTGTTTTTAAGAATAAGTGTCATACCACACAGGTGGGTTTTGTACACTTGGAATGCATTGTTTCTACAGTATTATATAAACTAGATACTCTTCCTGTAAAGGGACTAAGCTAGCCAAATTGGGAGGCAATGGAATATTTTCTCTGTGCTTCTTTCATGTATTTGCTTGTAGTCCTCTGTTTAAAATTTGGTCTAGAATACCGCATCAACTCCAAGATTAAGTAGGATTGCAAAATTGGAGAATATAATTCAGATTGCATGTTTAAAGGTAGGCTCGATATCGTTGTGAACTAACCTTTTCTCCATCTTTTTTTACTGGATTATCATTTGCTGTAAGTTTAAAAAAAATATATTAAGGTTTGAAAACAAGACATTGTTATTAAAAAAAACCCTGAATAATATTGATAAAAATGTGGTTTGCTACTGAACAAGGCCTGTGTGATTAATGTTTCCAATAGAAAAAGGGAAGATGATTCAATAAATTTGCTCAGAATAGATCCATTTCTGAGCCTTTCTTAATGGCCCACCTTCTATAAGTGATTACCTTACTGTTAGTTCTGTGGAAAAGTGTATTTTAGGCTCTACTTGTCTTTTATTTAGCATCTTCTGAACTGGGCTTATTCTTGCATCTTACTACAATTAATTGATTTGACTTTGAGATAAGGCTTCTTTTTCTGTTACATAGGTAAGTGACTGAAATAATGTAGAGGAAACAATGATTTTCAAGTAGGACAAATATTTTTCTTGGAATAAAAACCTTGCACACTCTTAATCTAGCGTGAAATGCAGAATTCTGGGTAGTACTGTTAGAACGAACTAACTTTGTCCTGACTTTTCTGTTACTGAAAATGTGGCAGTAAAATGCCCTGTATAACGGATATTACCTTCAAAATACCTCTGTGTTTGGATATCAGATCCAGAGATTTCTTCAGTTACGTAGTCGTGGTTCTGATGCTGAACTGGATCATCTGTTCTGTATGCCTTGAATTGGGCCCTGTCTGAGTGACCTTGGACTTGAAGGCTTTTTCTAACTTGATCATTTAATAAAGGACTGTTATACCTCATAAAGGGTACTTTGGACGCCAAAGTTGTTTTCCAACTTTCATTTTTTTTTCTTTTTCAGATAGCAAGATGAGTTCCTTAATAGAAGCCCCTGAGCTGCCGGCAGTGTTTGATGGGGTTAAACTGGCTGCTGTTGCTGCTGTTCTTTACATTATTGTCCGCTGCCTGAATCTGAAGAGCCCAACTGCTCCTCCTGAGCTGATATACCAAGACACTCCTTTGTCCCGCTTCCTAATAAAATCTTGCCCTCTCCTAACCAAAGAGTGAGTAGTCCACCAATACATGAAATTATTTGGTAATTTTGATTTAAGGTTAGAGAAGACAATGTACAGAATTGGAAGCAACTTTATCATGTTAGACTCTTTCTTTACATCGTAAAAACCATGCATAATAAACCTCTTTCTAGTAAATGAAATTTGCTTTGCTTAATTAAAAACGCCTACTTTACAAAAGTCTGTATCCTATGGGGAGAGCAATTCTGCTTCTGTACATCTGAAAGCATCAATTCAGCCAGGATCAAGGTGTGATTGAATTGGGGAAGCTGTGAAACTCCTTGAAAAGAGCACTTCTTCAGACCTGTACCTGAAGTTGAAATTCAAGTAGAGACTAAATCTAATTTTGGATAGTTGAAGGAGCAATACTTATTGGTAGGATATTTGCCTTGGGAAATCTTGTGTAATCTCAGACTACCTATGTATTTGATTTCCAAGCCTCTATTTTCTTTTCCATCCACCATCCTGTGTTCCGGAATGTCTATGAAAATATGTCAATAACACCTGTCAATTTTCTATTCTGCCCTTGAACTATTTTGGGAAGGGGATAGATGGTGATACAGGTTATGATAGCTAGGCATCATGTCAGAGCCTCAGAGTGCAAATCATCATTTTTATTACTATTTGGTAGTGTTATTTAATGTATTCCTTAATGTCTTCCAAAGTCTTTTTGTTTTGAGTTAATGGCGCTTTCTTTCCTAGCTTCTTTGGTGCTTTCCCATCCCCCCCTTTTTTTTCTCCCAAAGAACCTTACACCTCATCAGTTTCAACCTTTTCTGGGGCGACATAAATTTTAAATGTAGAAAAATACGATCCGTAGTTTTGATTATGATTAACTTGGGTATTTCTTTGCATTATGTTTATGTTAACTGCAGAATTAGTGACAATTCATTTACCTTTAGCAGCAGTATATTATACCTTAGAACTAAAGTATTTCCCGGACTAGCTCCCTTTTCTCCTGATATGAATCAACACATTTAAAATTCTCTGTTCCTACATCCTCAGGAGCAAGTGTTTATTGTGACATCATGGGTAAAAGTAGGCCTCTTAAGAATATTCTGTCCTTTGCCAGAATATGGACCAAAATTCCTGCTCCACCCCACCACCAAATAAAGCCATATTGTATTACATTTGCTCATCCATAGATCTGGAAGATACATCAATGTTTCTTGCAAGTTTTTTGCAAGGAACCAATTTTGTTGCTGAACAATATCTGTTACAATACAAGTGACTGAAATTAAACTTCTGTTTTCTCACTGGGTTTAGATTTAGCTAAATCTTTTCCTTGTGAGCTAGCAAGAAAAACACCAATGTGCTGCATAATTCTTTCAGTTAGCTGGATCTGTTCTTATGGCTTTGTGCTTAAAGACTTAAGACTTTAACAGATAAAGTAATTCTAAGCATTTTTAAAATACGCACACTTAGAAGGCTTCAGAAATGACAGCTAATGCAAAGTGTGGAACAGGAAAAAATTATTGCTATTAGACTGGGTGCAGAATGCATGGAATTTTAATTGCTGTGCTCCACATGGGAATTCCAAGGATCTTATTGAAGCTTAAGGGGTTTTTGCATATTTCTTCTAGCTTGATCTCAGAACAAATGGATAACAACACATATGGGTCAAACTGTACTTTTCTGTTCTAATAAGATCAGCTTGTGAAGCAGTCACGTTTTTAAATAGGCATATGAAAAATAACATACTCAGAGCACAGTTGATGGGATTTAATTTCTCTTCCCACCAACTCAGTATTACATTAATCTGAGTGTTTGTTCTGCTTAACCTCCAAATCATTCTACAGTAGTCAGTGCTAGTCATAAAGTAATAGAACTGCAAACAGCATCTGGTAAAGGTCTGAATAGCCTTAGCATAGCTAGCAGCACAGTCCTCCCCTTAGCAGGGTACTTGAATAATAGACATGTGCCAAACAAGGGTTTCCAAGAGTGGTCCACCAATATCCATGTGGCATTCCAGATATTAATACACCCTGAAGGCATTCCGGAAATCCTGAAAGACTTGGCTGTTCTCCCAGGCCTTTGGTTAAGGTGGTTGGGACCCTGATAAGATGGTGGGGGTGTTTTAGCTGGACTTGCCATCGGCTCTTGCTTTTTATTTATTTCTTTTATGCTTATTGTACAGTCTTTTCTATTCTGTTGGCTTTATTGTACACTGCCTAGAGTCAGTTTGAAGTCAGGCGGTGCCTAAACTGAATAAATTAAATTAAGTGAAGCCTCTATAGCAGTATGGTATTCTATACAAAATGGTAGGTTTTGGATATCTGTATTGAATGGATACTCTGCAGAGATTAAATTTGGTGGCAAAGCAGAGTTTATATTTAACAAATAGCTTTTGCCTGCCTCCAGGCCAAAGTGATTTAGACAAGAATACATATTGCACACTAGCCTGGACACTTCCATGTGAAAGTTTAGCACAGGGACTAGCTTATACATTGAGCTAAGTCATAATGTAGCTTATTTAGTTTCGGCTTAGCAGTATTATGTGAACCCACTCATTGTGGTTTGTAAACCGTGGTATATAGCTTAGTGCAATAAACTAGCAAATTATGGTTTGTTCAGTAAGAGTCTCTTGCTATGTCTCCTTGGAAGAGGATTCCATAATCATGGCACAGAGCTGTGAGGCTTCTTGATCAAGTATATATGGCAGGAACTTCATTTAGATGCTGCGAAATTCATAGCACTTTGAACTAAACTCAGAAACAGGCTGAAAGCCAGTGCATCTGACAAAAATACCAGTACTTGATAGCTTTGGTTTGAACTAACTCAAATTCCTTAACAGTCTTCAGAAGTATTTTACGTTCAGCCCATTGCAGTAATCCAATTGGGAGGCTACACAGCATGATAACGGAAACCAAACTCTGGCTATTCCAGGTGGGGCTTGCTGCTGGTATATCAACTGAGAAGAAGTATTTTGTCATAGAGGGCACTTACACCTCCAGTAGCAGCAGTAGATTCAAGAGCTCCTAACTTTCACACCTGATTTTTGAGCATGCAGCCTGTTCTCCACAACAAGCTGGACACTGATTTAGGCAGGCAACCCAAATAGCAACAGCATTCTTCAATGAATTAATTCTCATTCGGTTTCTTTCCATGTTCAAGGACTGAGCCCAGATACCAAATGAGTTGGCTCATTTGGATTAGATGAAAATGAAACCTAGAGCTGAGTGTAATTTGCCTATTAGGGACAACTCTTTTCACATTCTCAGTTAACTTCCACAGTGGTTACATATATGTGTTAAATAACCTGATAGATAAAATGGAGGTCACAGGAACAGAGCAATGAACTTCCAGCATCACCACCCATGTAGGAATAGAACTAGCATAAAATAGTGCTGCCATTTGCAATACCCAAGTCAGAGGATATACTATGGTTATTGATTGTTTTATCAGAAGCTACGGGGAGGTCCAAAAGAACCATTCCAGTGTATTATAGTGAGAAGAAAAGAATTGTGTAGCTGAAGCTTGATGGCTTTGTCTAATACGTGTGTTTCATTAACATATCATCAACAAGACTTGGGGAACATTTTCATCAGAGTTTTAAATGTCTACATTCTTGCGTTATTAATCACAAGGATTTCAAGTGCATTCCGCGTGTTACTTTTAACATATGTGTCTCATTTCTGAAAGCACTTTATGGAAATGAAAGGAATATAGCCAAACTGCTAAAAAAAAACGTGCTTTAATTTCCAGAATTAGCGTTTAATACTGTGTTGATAACCCTTCGTGCATGTACTGCTAGTAGAATTAAACACTGCATAGAACATGAAAGAGGTATGAATGTCTCTAGGAATGAATAGGATAGGGTTACAGTCCCAGTGATCTGACGGCTTTAACTTGATTACAGTCAGAGATTCCATGACATCACAAATTCCTTGTATAAGTGACAGCCTTTCTTCCCCTTTTTGTTGCACAGTGTGCTCTGCAGGCTGTTGCATTCCTCTTTGTATGCATGCCACTCTATTACCCATACTCCTCAGAACTGAGCGTTTCTATATTCCATCTGTTTCAGCCTTTACTTCTGATAACGATAATGCTCATGACTGGAAAGCTTTATTCAGGTTCCTGAGCAACGTGGACTAGCTGTCTGCTGTTTGAATATTTGACAGAACTTTACTGAATGAAGCACTCTGCATTTGCAGCAAGGCCAGTGTATAGCCCAGCACGACTGTTCTGTCCCATAAGTATGGTATAATTTGCTGCAGTGTCAATTTTGTCTTGCACTCAGTCATGTCTGCAGGGTCCAAAGCTTTTGTGGATGGCAAAAGCAGCATCTTATTGTTGTGACTCAGGCCCCATCTATTTGTATACATGTACATCGTCCCAATGTGTGTACAGAAAAGATGGAACTTCTGACACAATGCTGCTTCCATCATGTATTCCCCTTGCAGATGACTCTGCTTGCACTCTTCAAATGAAACTACATGGCTTGAGGCTTGTGTGTGCGTGCTGCAAATAGAGCTACATGTAATCCTTTCAGGGAGAAGCACCAATCCAGTATGCATATTCCAGTTCTCTCTGAGACCACTGCTTTGCTGTAAGGAGAAGAGGACTTAATATGATGTAGAAGAGATTAAGTTATGGACTATTTCATAATACTTCTTGAAACTGAAACTTTCCTCTCTGGCCCAACAAATTAATCCTTAAAATATTGGACTATTATTTGGTCAGTTGACTGAGAGGTCTTGTGCATATTAGCGTGTTTATTATTCACATCTCAGCCTTAGAATGAGCATATAACAGAAACTCCAAAATGCCAAGGCTGATGGCTCTTTTCATATATTTCCCCTCCATATGTAGCTTATAGTGAGCTCCCCCGTATCCTGAGTGTTTACTCTGTGTAATTCCAAATAAACATCCCAGAATGCCTGCAGGAGGGCTGCCTTTCCACTCTTTGAAAATGTTCAGCATCTCAGTATTGGCATTAAGGGTGGAAATCAGTATTGTATTCAACATCTCAGTACTGGCACTAAGTATTCAACATCTCAGTATTCAACATATTCAACAGTATTCAACATGATATTCAGCATCTCGGTACTGGCACTAAGGGTGAATTTTTAAATCTCATTCTAGGGATACAGCGGGAGTGTGTGGGGGGGGTGTCAATATCCATCTCCTGCTTGTGAGCACCCCAGAGGCATTTGGTTGGCCCCCATAAGAAGCAAAACACTGGACTAAAATGGTCTTGGCCTCATCCAGCAGGGCTATTCTTATGTTCTTACGCCCTTCTTAATGATCCGCCTCTTAAAATGCTTGTCCTGTCTTGATAGTTTGGAAATGCTAGCTACGTGGTTTCTGGCAAGATGGTATTGTTGAAAGCGATATCCGTCCATTTTTATCCTTTCGTTTCCTCTTCTTTACCATTTCCCCTTTGGTATACCAGGAACCATAAATTTAAGATAAAAGGCCATCTGCTTTAGCACCAGTTATGCCACTTCCTTGATGGGTGTAGTACATATGTTCTTTGCTCTCTTAAAAGGTGCTGCTTTCGGAAGTGTTTTTCAGAGGTCACTAAATTATACCTGATCCACAGATTTGCCATCTGTTGCCCTTTGGCTCTTAACTGTGACCACAGCTATTTATTTTAGCTATCTAGATTGTATGTTGTCCTAGGTAAACATTTGTGATCAACAGGGCCTGCTTTTAAATGAAAGATCCATCTTAAAGCAAATGCATAAACTTGTTTTCATTTCCTCTTTAGGTACATTCCACCTTTGATCTGGGGAAAGAGTGGGCACATTCAGACTGCTCTTTATGGGAAGATGGGGAGAGTACGATCACCACATCCTTATGGGCTTCGCAAGTACCTCACAATGTCAGATGGTGCCACAGCAACTTTTGACCTCTTTGAACCACTAATTGAAAACAGCAGTAGAGGTTAGGCCACTGTGTCTATCTATTGCTTCTTGACCTGGAGGCTTGAGTAAATACTGGGGGGAAATACACTACAATATTTGCTCCCATAGATAGGCTGGAGACTGGTTGGTGCCATAATTCTGGCCTGAGTTTCAGCTTTGTGTTTTAGACCTGACTTTTGAACCTCTGGAGCTAGATCTGCCTAGGTGACGTGTACAAATACAGATTATTTTTATAGCCATCAGATAATAGGCATTGCTTCATGGCCTAGATTTCTAGTTTAGGGCATAGATTTAAAAATGTCGTTCCTGTGACCCATAAACAGTCACTCATGTGAGATGGGTGGCTATATAAATCAGTCAATAATGCTTAGGATTAAGGTCTATTAAATAGACTGAAAGGGATAAGGAGCTTAATTCAATCTGAAACCTGTTTTGTTTGCTTGAGAAAACCATCCTAATCATATACTTGAAGTCCATTTGAAGGGAAAACGCATCAGTTGCTGACTCCATTGGGTTTGAAGTATCCAGGTGTGTTAGGAATCTGCTACCAAATGGTGTAAGAGTATTGCCCTTTCCACCGTATTCCTTTTGCCAAATAACACATGCCTAGCTGTTGTTTTTCACCGCAGCAAGACCGTGAACAGTGATGCTTTAAAAAGTAACACTACGCTCTTAACAGTGGCTTAATTATTGCTTAGAAAGTATTATTTGATCTTCCCCCAAAGGATACTTTGCTTTCCACTTCTGGGGGATATTTGTCACATAGGTGTGAAAAATACAGACCAAAAACAAATCTCTCCTCATCCAATCCTTTTTCTCGTTCTCCTAAAAGAATAGTCTTGTGAAGGGAAAATGTTGTGAGGTGTAAGTAATACAAGAATCATTCATAAAGAGGTTCAGAGCAGCTCCCGGTGGAAGAAGCTTATCTGCACAGTTTATCCCAAGCTGCTTTAGGGCCACCTTCTCTAATTTGGAGCCTCTCAGATGTAATGGAAGAATTCCTTGCCAACAGAGCCAGTGGCTGCAACAGCTTAGAGTTAGTTCACATCTGACAGGCATCAAATAGGGAAAGCTGCTTTAAAGTCTTTCTGAGAAAAACAGGATGAACATCCCAGGCGTGTGTATGTATGTGTTTTTATTTCCCCCCGGTTTCTGCTGCTTGCAGAAATCAACTGAAAAAAGCCTTAATAAACTTGGCTGTAAGATAAATAGAGGGGACAAAAAGAAGAAGAACTTTCTGGAATTATAACAACTGGTCGCATTTAGAGAACTTCCCTTTGTCAGTGACAGCTAATTGGAGAAGCTGTTTTGGGTGATGCCAGCAGGAACTTGTTGAAATAAATTCTGAGTCAGTTTAAAGAACTTGGGTAAACAAACTGAAGTTTGTAACACATGTTGTGTTTCCTCTGTGTTGTACTCTAACATAATGTATTACCACATCCTGAGCAAAAGTGTGTGTCTATGAGAGAGAGAGAGGGAGGGAGGGAGGAAAAATTGCTTTGTTCTGAAATGAGTCTTTCTAGACTAAAGTTAGTGAATCAGATGTGATCTTGCATCGTCCGTAAACTGCTTCTTAAATTCTCCTCTTCCAATGTTTTCATTCTCCAGAAGATATCACAATGGTCATCTGCCCTGGAATAGCTAATCACAGTGAGAAGCAGTACATCCGAACCTTTGTTGACTATGCTCAAAAGAATGGCTACCGGTGTGCTGTGTTAAATCATCTTGGCGCCCTGCCAAATATTGAACTGACTTCACCACGCATGTTCACTTATGGTAAATATTTGCTCACTCTTCCATCTTCTCCTGTTAGCATTAGTTTCTAGCTTGTCCGTATTCCTAGTGCCAAACATATGGTGGGTCTCATTTGATCCGTAAACGTTTCAATGGCTGGGTTCACACTTTACAGTAAGCCCTAATGAGCTTTGCTTGGTTTGATCCCATCACATCAGCCCAACCAGGATTGTGGTTTGTTAGATTGTGGTATGGCATTAAATGATTATAAGGAAAACATGGCAGAAGGGTAATTCAGTGAAAAAGACCTTTTTCAACGTGGTGTGTGTGCATATGCATGAAAAGAAAGGACAGAGAGAGCTGTTTTCTCCTAAGAATATATGGGCAGTATATTCCTAGGAGCAATGGCAGTGCTACAGCATCAGTTCCTTTAGCTTGGCTCAGGGTATAGTGCCAGAAAAGGGAGTGATACATAGCTTATCAAACTGACTATAACACTTTTGGAGAGTAGGTAAGCACAAGCTAGATACCTCTTAAAGCCAGAGGGATAAGAATTAGCATCAAGGGAAGTGTTTGTTTTGCCATTCAAATCCTGTTGGCTCTTGCCTATCCTTGTACTTTGGTGTTTATTATGAGTATCTCGAATCTCTAGCGTAAAGCCTTTGGCATCACTTTTTTAAAAAAAATTATAGTCTATAGCCTCAGGAGATTATTCTGGGGTGTTAGTGAGCAATCAAAATGTTATTGTCATGCTCTGTCCTGTCTCCTATTTCTCCTTTGCTTTATTTGTGACTCAGGTATGACACTTAAAAACAAAACCATGGTAGAAAGGAATTGTCCAAATGTATTATACTTCTGAATAGATAGTAGTTCTAAAACACTGTACAAATAATTTTTCAAAAGATTACACCAGCATGAAGAACCTGTTGCTCTCCATATGTTGCTGAATTTTAGTGCCCAGCAGCTTAAACCAGTATGGCCAACGCTAAGGAATGCTATGCTGGGCATTGAGCTTGGCAATATTTTGGGTTTCCCACCATACTTATTGATAAAATGTATCAATAATGCTCATGATGCATTCAGTAATGCTTGTGATTAATACTGTGGATGCTGGGAAACTAGAATGCAGGCAGACCCTAGGTTCTTATACTGGAAATAAGGAGATTTAAGTCCTCCCAGAACTGAGTTGGAGATGACATTGTATGGACCATATTTAGTTGTAGCTTTTGGTTGGTGGGGCAGGTGGCTGGTGAACAGAGACATTTTGAAAGACTCTCTCTTGCACTGTTTTTAAATATTGGGTCAATATAACTGTACTGCAATGAAAAGCCCTTTAGAAGAGAATACCATGATTATTCATGCTATCTGGTCATCACTGCATTTCTTTTCCTCCTCTTCCTGTTTTATGGCTATGTTAAAATGTTCATCCTTTCCTAACTATGATTAGATTTTTAAAAAAGTATGTGAGTCTTAGAGAAACATGGGGACTTATAGCTCATTTTGTGATGTAAGCCTTCCTTTGCCTTCACTGTTTCATAGGTTGCACCTGGGAATTTGCTGCTATGGTGAACTACATCAAGAAGACATATCTTTATTCCAACCTAGTTGTTATTGGCTTTAGCCTGGGTGGAAATATAGTGTGCAAATATCTAGGGGAGTCCCAGTGTAACCAGGACCGCGTGCTCTGTTGTGTCAGTGTGTGTCAGGGGTATAGTGCATTGAGGTAAGTCGGCTTTTGTGGTTTGTTTTGGTAGAGCAGGAAGTGAGTACTGTTGCTAAGTGCTTTTCCTGAGGATAGAGGAAGTAAGCCACATATCTTGTACTCAGCCTGCCTCTTTCTAGTCCTTTTGCAAGATTCTCTACCTTTTCAGAGTCTATGACAATAGGAAACAACATTTCAACTGTATGTTCTTCACATAGACACAGATCTGGAACTCTGGTGGTCCTGGGGTTAGAATTTATGAAATAAAAAAGCAGTGGGAAAAATATTTGAAATATTACACCTCTGCTTGCTGTTCCTCTACTTAAAATAGTAGCTCTCCAAAGCTTTAAGAATGTTTAGCATTGCATTATTTTATTGAACTTCTAAGATTTAGTAATCATCTTAGTTAATACATCCAATAACAACCCCAAATCCATATAAAAATGCAATAAAACAAAGATTGCAATCAGACCAGAAAATCTAAATATACTACAGAGAGGAGATTACGTGAGGTATAGAAATATAAAAGGACTTAAAAAATCTGAAATAATAAAGGCAGTTGCCTGCTATTGGAAAAAAAAAGTAATCCCTCTTTGGGAGGGTGTGCTATTGTTTTGTGGGAAGAAATATCAAATGATCTTTCAACCTGGTTTTGGTTCAGTTCAACACCCAAAGGAATACAACTGTTACCTTAATCTATCAAGTACTGTTTCATCACTGCAGTGTGCAAATGTATTTAATGGGTTAAAAGCCTCTTTGATGTTTGTTTTCAATTGTAAAATTGCTAATTTGGCCAAGAATGCTGTTGAAATCCAATACTACAATTACATTTTAACTAAAGAAATGCCAGACTGGCCAAAATTAAGGGACTTTATATCTGAAATTGTATACAACATATAGCTCTGATTGGTATGCTGAAAGTGTTGTCATTTCTGTTATCCGCAGAACTGGAGAATTGAGCAATATCCGTATTAAAAAAAATATCTCAGATCAGCTCCAGTTTCTCACAAAGACTTTGTGTTTCAGACTGTGAAGGTGCAGAAATTTTGTACAGAGTAAATCTTTAAAAGCAATGGGATTAGAACCATGCAAGCTTCCTGTATTACATCTTAATTTTTCCATGGTCCCATTTCTGAAACATTTGTCAAATATTAATAGAATTGGAGAAAAGTGGGAGGATACTCAATGTGAAAATGGATCTGAGACATTCTTTTCGCGAACAGTTGGATTATATTGTATGCAGTCAGAGTTTGGGAGACCACAGTATAATATAGATAGCTTTTGCTTCAACTAAGTAATTGGTCTAAGTGTTGAAGTCATTTTTCCCCTGCCAAGGCTGGCTAAATATTGAAAGTAGCTTTCAAGTTAAGTTCTGCATTGATCTGTATGTCCTTTGCCAAGTTTTGTAATGTCTGTTCATTCGAGTAATTTTAGAAGCGACCTTTGGAGACAACATAGGACTGTAATTCTTTTTTCATAAAGTTTTCTTTTGCAAGTTGTTGGCAGCTTCATGTTCCTGTTTTTGAGGATTTTGTTCCCTCTACTGGTTGACTTTTTCATAGCACTTTTCTGTCATTGCCACCAATCTGGAAAAGGGGATTTCAAAGCATTATCTTAAGAGCCTACTTCTTTTAAAGTTGTAGGAGCTATTGCTGGCCCCTTGGAAAAAGAATTAAAGGAGCAATGTTGAAATGTTGCTGTCTTGTCACCATAACCTGGCAGTTACTTTCATTAATTGGTTTTATTTATTTATTTTCCTGCTCCTCCATCTTAGAGCACAGGAAACCTTCATGCAATGGGATCAGTGCCGGAGATTTTACAATTTCCTCATGGCAGACAACCTGAAGAAAATAATCTTGTCTCACAGGTACAGAAATATATCCGTTTTGCCCTAAACGGGTTTCAGTTTACTGCATTGTTATAAACAGTTCTTAATACATTGTATAAATTGCAATTTTTACTGCCCCAAGCTAGTTAGTCAGGTTGAATAGGTTATTAACCAGATATCTGGATGGAAACTAGGGTTTAAGAAATGTTTAAGAAATGGTCTGTTTTAACTGGAGTCTGGAAAATAGAATGAAACTATTTTTTTTGGCATAATTTTAGATCAGTAACTGTATGAAATGTTAATGCATGTAGTCCTTGGTTAACAACCACAATAGGGACTGGAAAAATTGTTGTTAAGTGGGGCAATCATTAAGCGAGGTATCACGTGACCACACCCGATTTTATGACATTTTTGTGGCGTCATAAAGGAAATCATTGTCATTGTTAAGCGAATCACATTGTTAAGTGAATCATGTGGTTCCCCATTGATTTTGCTTGCCGGAAGCCGGCTAGGAAGGTTGCAGATGGTCATCACATGACCACGGGGCACTGTAACAGTTGTAAGTGTGAGGACTGGTCATAAGTAGTTTTTTCAGTCTCGTAATGTTGAATGGTCACTAAACAAATGGTCGTTAAGCAAGGACTATCTGTAATTGTACTTGCTGTAATGCTTACTACTCAAGCCTTTTATGGCAGGGAGCAGTGGGAGGGGGAGGGGAGATCTTTAGGGCATTAAGAGTCTCTAATGATGTATGGGGTACTGAATCTGCTTAATTTATCCCAGAGATCCAAACGTTTTGACAACTTCAAATATTTTAATCTTCCTATTTTAAAAGAGTTCCCAGTTTTAAGTATGAGCAATCCTTTGCAAATCTGAAGGATATCTTGTTAATCTGCCAAAAACATTTTGTCTCCATAATAGATCTTTTGTACTGTAGTGCAACCCCCTAGCCAAATTTCCCCAACTGTTTTATGCTCTGCAACTGCTGTTTAGAGAACAAAGCTCATACATATGGTCTACAGTTCTCCTTTTGTTCTCAGCTTCCTTCACCATCAGGGCCACTAATGGTCTCCATGGTATAATGCAGTGTTCCTCAACCTCAGGGACTTTAAGATGTGTGGACTTCAGCTCCCAGAATTTGTCCCAGAGGACAAATTCAAAAATATTTGAAATTGACATGAAATGGACATGTCACAATAATGTGAAAATTCATACCTATGAAGCCATTTTTCCGATAATCCTTAGATTGAGAGTAAGCAGATACTTACTTGTTATCTCTACGATGCCTGTGATGGGCATAACAATAGTTTTTTTCTGTATATTTTAGACAAGCTTTATTTGCTGAAACCTCTAAAAAGCCCCAATGTTTAGTGGAAACAGATCTAAGCAGACTTCACACAGCAACTTCGCTCATGCAGATTGATGACAACATTATGAGGTATGCAAGAAAGTAATATTGGTTACTTTTCTACCTAAATGATTTTGCACGATCACAAAGATGTCTGGAAATGAAGTCGCTGGTTAATATTACCGTGCATTAATTTCTGCCACCCTTTACTGGTATTCATTTATTGATATTGGTATTCACTTGCTGCATGATGATTTTTTAGATATAACTCTTAGTATGCTATAAATGGCAGTATTGCGTGTAAGTGAAGTTACAGGGCTGACTAGAGTGATTAAACTGTAAAGTTAAGATTCTTCTGCATTTCTGTAAATCCAAGATTTTGTTAGAAATGTTTACTTGTGTTAATTCAGGATTTATTCGCGTTTGTAGTATTCTCTGATGCTATTTAAATTTGTGCTGCTTGGTGTACAGTTTTAGTGCCAAACATATAACTATTTCGGAAGAGCCCACATATTCAAATTCTACTTTGCCCATGGATGCTGTAATACAGTAAGGCAATCATTGTTTAGGAGTAATACAGAGCCAAAATGACATCATTATGATAGAACCTTCGTAATCAGTTAGGCAATAGATGAAAAAGAAATCTGACTTTTAGGAATTCTACATTTTCAGTTAGACGATGGTCCATTTGAGCCTTATCTTTTATAACCTTGAAGCAGATTTATTCAGCAACAAGGCAGAAATGTATAGCATCTGAGGAGGAACTGGCATTTTGATCAGGATTAGTTTATCTGGGCATAACTGATTCATCAGAAAGAATATTCTAAATGTATTAGATCAGTATTCCTCAACCTCAGCGACTTTAAGAGGTGTGGACTTCAATTCCCAGAATTCCCCAGCCACCCATGCTGGCTGGGGACTTCTGGGAGTTGAAGTCCACGCCTCTTTAAGTTGCTGAGGTTGAGGAACAGTGCTCTAGAGAGTGTGACTGGCTCAAACTCACTGAGCTGGTTTTGTGCCTAAGGCAGGACTAGAACTCATGGTTTCCCAGATTCTAGCCTAGTGCTTTTAACCACTCTCTCTCTCACACACACACGCACACCCATCATCTAGTGATTCAGCTATAACTAAATCTTTCCCATCCTTGTGTTTTCTTTTTCCCTGATCTCAGAAAATTTCATGGCTACACCACCTTAAAGGAATATTATGAACAGGAGAGTTGTCTGCATTACTTGCACAGAGTGAGTTATCATAATATGTACTGAATATTGGGGGGGGGGTTGGTTCTGTTGCTTGAAATGGAAACATTAGGGAGGGGAGAGAGGTCATTTAGACTTAGGTTAGGGGATAGAGGGCAGCTTAGTACATTTAAGAAAAGATGTAGGTGTATATTTGACCCAGTTTATAAATACAGGTGCTGGAATAATTCTAGGAAGGATTTTATAGGATCACCTAAAAAAGTTATATATTCCTTGGGAAGTATACAGTGACATACTTTATGGTAGAGTAGAGTGGTAGAGTAAGGTAATGAAAATAGGAAGCAACAGTGAAATTTTGGAACTGGGAATACATTTGTTTAGATTTAATCCTTTCATATCCTGATTCAATAGATCAAACTTCTGAATAACTCATATGAAATTGGTCAGCACAAATTCCTGCCTCTTTTCTGTGACCCTCATGCTGATATAGTAGCATGTAGTTGCCCCTGGAAGACATTCAAGTCAATCTTTGCAAATTCTGTAATAGTTAACGATCTTGCATTTTATTCACATCAAATAAGACTATAAATTGGCTTGTTCAAGTGTGCTTCCCCCACCCTTCCCAAGGAAAAAACTTGTAGAAGGAAATAATACCACTAGGGTATATTTATGAATTACAGTTTTGGATATAAGCCCCTCCCTTCCCCCCGCCTTGGTTGAGTGCTGTTACAGTCTGTTTTTAAAAGCTCTTCTTTTGACAGTTCAGGGAATGCCATTCAAATGAACAGCAGAAGTGACTCAGAATTTTATTCTTTCCTCTTCAGAAAATTCTACCATTTACTTCTACTTGCACATACAGTAGAAGTAATCCCACGATACGTAGAAGAATTTAGTTTAGCAATTATGGTCTAAATGTTCTTCTACACATGAAGCAGTAACTAAAACATCAGGACAAGTACATGCAGAATTGCATTCTGAATCCATGACCTCTACTGGAATAGTTTTCAACAAAATGCCCTAGATCATTAAGTCAGCACCGTTATCAGGATGTGAATTTCCGCATGTTCAGGTCTCCCTAAGATGTGACACTCAATTATGACTTTATGAGCAAGATGCATATTTTTTAATGAAATAAATCAGTCAAAACTTGTATCTTGTTCTTTTCTGTCTTCAGATCTTTGTTCCCCTCTTGCTAGTTAATGCTGCTGATGACCCATTGGTGCATGATAGCCTCTTATCAATCCCAAGAGCCCTCTCAGGTAAGCCCCAAACTTTGCTTGAACTTTTCTTTCCAGCCTTACTATAATGTGGAATACAGGGAGTCCCCAGTTTAAGAACGAGTTCCATCCCCAAGGTCTGTCCTTAATTCGAATTTGTATGTAAGCCAGAGTAGTATTATTGCATAGTACCGTATAAGTAGTATTGCGTAATGAACTCGAATCATTGTGTATTTAACTCGAATCATTGTGTATTTAACTCGAATCATTGTGTATTTAACTTGAATCATTGTGTATTTAACTCAAATTTTATTACAGTAGGCTCCGTTCTTAACTGTGGGTCATCCTTAAACAAGGTGTTCTTAACCTGGGGACTACCTGTATAGCCAACGGGTCAGGATAAGTTCAGTTTTCTTGCTTCTCTTTGGGTTCTGTTTAAAGTAATGCCCTACAGCAGTGTTTCTCAGCCATGGCAACTTTGAGATGCCTGGACTTAACTCCCAGAATTCCCCAGCCAGCATCTCAAAGTTGCCAGGGTTGAGAAACACTGCCCTACAGAATAGATCTTCTGGGTTACATGGAAGCAGGCTATGACTTCTTTTCACGGCTTTTGCCAGAAAGAGACATGAGACAAAACATCATGGGTTTTCTCATGTTACAATTTGCTGTATGTAATGTCATCCCACTTTGCAGTATGGAGAAGAGACAGTCTAAAACTCAATATGTGGGAAGGAGAAGAATGGGAAGAATTTGTATTTCTAGAAACATCAGTGGGAGATACCAAGGGTGGATTTGATTTCTGTAGCTTGCTGGCTTTCATCTTGACTGAAACAATCTTTTTTGATCAGTATATGATGACTGCTTTTAGTATCATTTGTGGCTGCCTATTAACTATACATCACAGCCAAGAAAATAGACTAAACTTGGAAAACATGCTTTGGCAAGTCCAAAGCTAATGAAATTGAATTCTAAACGTCATTTATTTTTACTCTTTCAGAAAAACGGGAGAACGTCATGTTTGTCTTACCATTGCATGGAGGCCACCTGGGATTTTTTGAGGGTTCAGTACTTTTTCCCGAGCCCCTCACTTGGATGGATAAACTAGTGGTGCAATACGCGAATGCCATCTGTCAGTGGGAGAAGAATAAATCTCATTGCTCAGATACGGAACAATCATCTGGCCAAGAATAAACAGTCCCAAAGACTTTTCAGGTTGTTTCCAACTTAGTCCCCATCTTCTTCTTCTTCCCTCCTGCTTTTCCAGGCCAGGCCTGATCATCTTCAATGTAGGCGTTTGACCACAGTGTTTCATGCCAAATAGAGTTACAACCCAAGGAGTTGCTATTTTGAACAATTTGGGAGTGTGCTTGGAGCATACTCACGCAGTGACAAAACTCTTCCAGTCTCTTGGGGGTTGCTGCCTGTAGCTTTCTATAAGGTTCCAAAACCAGTGGAACAACAGAACATCTTTGAAAGCAGCAAGATGTTCCAACGCTTATACTTTCACTGTTCAAAGAAAACAAAATAACCTCCTCTGGTTGTTTTGCAAAAGTTGCGTAGCGTGTTACTAATGCGAGATAGGAGTGTACTTCCTTTGTGGCTTTGTTTCACCTTGTTGCCACCACTGGCCCTAGCAGGAGGGAAGTGTTATATGTTTGTGGAAGACACCAACAAATCCTCTCTACAGGCCATCAGTACAGCTGCGTGCAAAGCAGGGGAGAAAGACGTGGAATTTGAATGTCCAGAATCTCACCCCTCAAGTGAGGAAGAACCTCACCCTTTCTTGTTAATGCATTTCAAGGGTTTAGATTGCTTTGGAAATATTTGAAAGATCCAGTCAGTCCTTATTCCAGGATTCTGGAATGCTGGCTGAGTATATTTAATCACATGCTTTGCTTTTTCATTGGGACTTTCCACATAGAAAGCTTTGGGGTTGAACAGTAGATTCCCTGCTCTGTTACTACTTGAGATTAAAACAAGTAGCCTTGTGACAGTTGCCTTTTCTAAAATGAGGTATTATAATTTGACATCAGAGTTGTGAGTGCTCCTAACCAGGCCTTTTAATACTGTCTGTAAGTGAAAACCAGTGACCATCAGTCTGAGAGTTGTCTGTTGTTGTTTTTTTTTCCTTTAGAGAAGCTTCATACGTGAAGGATGGCAGGAACAAAACACCCACATTCTTTTTACCTCCCCAATATACCAGAGCAGTATAGTAACGTTTTGAAAGCCGCAACTGATTTGGCTTAGAGAAGTTGGGGATAGATTTAAAGAAATTGTACTGAATGCCTTAACTATTAGTGGCTTCTGCAATTCCCGGAGCCCAAAGCTGCTCATTAGTTTTTCAGCCTACTGACATCAACTGAGATTGGCAACTCTTGCATTAGGGTGAGATGCAGTAACGCAGATACAGCGAAGAAGCAGCATTTTTGCTGCTCTACGATAGAGAAACAGATTTTGGCACTGAGCAAGTTTCCAGTCTGAAAGTGAAAAACGACACATCTTAATTATATATTAATTATATATATATAAATCTCCATTAGGCTATTTTTCAACTGCAGTTCTATTTAGAACTGTTGGTTTAGTGTTCCTTCCTTATGGCATAGTCTAATTACGTTTTAATAGTCATTCCCTTGCATTATAGTCCCCATAATAGTTAGCACTTTATTGCTTCAACCTTTTGGTTTGCTGCCTAGACACTTTAATTATAGCGGGCACTTGGTTTTTAAATGGTTAGAAAGTCTTTCTTGAAAATAAAATGTATGGGGTATCTTTCCAGCCAGTTTTGAGATTCAAAAAAGTGTATACTATGTTTGTGAGGTTTTCATTCTTTTTTTTTTTTAATTGAGCAATAATTGCCTGTAGCAAAGGTGCATTTCTCACATCAGGAATCAAAGTGCCCCAGCCTCAGATGGGTAGTCTTGACCTGTTCAACAAACTGTGTGACTTAAGCACAGTAAGTGAATTCAGATTCTATTTTGTTCTCACATAGGAAAGATCATATAGGAAGTTCTCACATAGGAATGATCACATAATACAAGGTTCAGGTTTCCTTCTCCTCTCCCCCACCCCCATGTAGACTTTAAATTGTTAATCTATTTTTATTTTGCTTTTTTAGCATTTCCTGCTCCTTCCCTGGACACCAAATCCAAGATAGGCATATGCTTTTGGCTGCAGAAGAACATTTTAATGATCTCAAATGCTTATTTCTCTTCCACTTAAAAACAAAAAAACAAAAACCTAGATGTTTCAACTGTTTCCTTTGTTGCAGTGTATAAAATAGGAATGAACATGACTTATTTTTCGTCACCTGCACAGCGTATTAGAAAGCAGGCTATAAGAATCATAATACTAATTTTCATCATTTCCATCTCCAGCTTTCTCTCCTTTTTAGCACGTGATTATTTTACCAAAGCCAGCTCTCCTAGCAGTCAATAAGACATATTGTACTTTTTGATCTGACTCTGAGAGCCAGGGATTGTAACATGACTTCCGCCCAAATAGGACCTTTATTGTGTTTTGCATTTAAAATAAACGTGATAAATCTAGGCTTTTCCTAACCTGGTGCTCCCCCTCAATTCCGATGTATTTGCCTTAATGGCTGGGAATAGTATATTTCAACACCCCTGAAGGAAATCCAATTGATAAAATAATTGCTGTGAATTAAAATTATAAATGTCCTTGCAAGTAAAGGCACTTAATAGCCGTGGTTGCTGAAGGGGCTATGAGGATAGAGTTTCCCTTTTTTTTTTTTAAACCAGGTACAGATTGGTTTTGAGTATAGTATGACAAAGAATTAATCCTTCCTTTAAATTTTGGAACCTGGCTTACAAAGTTGTGCAGTTACATAATGTAGCAGTTTCAAGGAGGATTGCTTTCATGATTTAAATTCATTTAAAACTATTCAACCCCTTGGAAAATCATTTTCATTTGCTCTATGCTGTAAATGTAATAAGACTCTTATATCTCCCAGATGTAGCGGGAAAACCAAAATTCTCACTAAGTTGGACAGTCAAAGGAGTGTCTTTTAAGTCCCACATTTGATATATTTTCTGCTGCATCAATGAAAGGAAACCCAAGTGAGTTTGTGATAAATTGAATTCTAACCCTCCCCCCCCCAAAAAAAGATTCTATAAGGAAAAGAGAGGAGTGATGAAAAACTGACCAACAGGAGATAGCTGCCAATTTGTATACCTACATACTAAACCTTTTTTACTTTAGTGAAACAAAATGTTGCTTGAAACTTATTGGAAACAAATCAGGAGGTTATGTCTTTTGAGACATTTTTCTACCACTTATCTTAAACTCGGTAAATCATTCCTTCTGTTACTTTTTTTCTGGAAAAGATAATTTTTTGAAGGATTTTCTTTGCTTTGTACGTTCAGAATTTATATCTGATTGTTTTTCTAAAGATATTTTTTTGTAAACTGGAGATCTTGCTGCCCATACATTTTGGGGCGAGCCCATCGCATCCCCCTTTTTTAATGAAGGCAGTGTTGAGAATTGCATCAAGCCCCCTTGATGAGCTGTTACAGCCAAATGGTTCATCCTGTGGCAAGAGTGAGTTGAAGCCAGCTTTGCCAGTTGACCAAAAGATATAAGCCAACCCTTTCCTGGCAACAGCTGTGGTAGAATTAATGTCTTGGCAGCATGTCTTTGCATTAAAGATAGCCTTCTGTGGGTCAAAGGTGCATTTCCCAAATCTATGATAGTTTGCAAGTGGTCCTTAGGCTTTGATCTATATGTAAAGAAGGAATAGCCAACTGGTGGACTACATTTCACCTTCCATTCCTTTTCTACTTCATTCTCATCCCCTCAAGAACATTTGCTGAAATTCAGCCACATGATCTATGCTTTCTTTAAAATACGTAACATAGGTGCATTAAGTCTCTGATAGCTTCACACATATATTTGTTTTTTAAACAGAGTTGAAAATTCTGGCCCAGCCCTCTAGTGATGGCCCTGCCATGCTGCAGCAGATAGATTAGTGCACCCGTGTGTCATCCTCGGCCCCAGAAATCTTACCTATTTCTGATCTAAAGGTATATGTGACCAGGTCCTCAGGTCACATTACAACTCAATATTAATCTTAGTGATGTGTTAGTCCCAGATATAGGCTGATAGCATTGATGTGCATATGTGTGTCAAAAAATAGGGAAAATTTGTTACAAAACACACGTCCCTAACTGTCTCATGCACATAAAGAGCAAAGCATGAAGTTTTCCTTAGATTGCATTGTTACACTGATGTAAGCTCTGTTGCTGTTCACTTCCTTTAGATGTGCAGAATAGAGCTTCCACATTCCCAAGTGGGATTTCTGTCATAGGAAAATGCCTCAATAAGAGTCCCGACTATGGCATTTTGACTTTAACTCAGAGCGATTCGCCTGGCAGCAGCAGTAGTCATCAGAAAGAAGATTTAAGTGTCCATACCACACCTTTCCCCACCTTCTGTTTATTTCGCATGTTACGTGATGGTCTTAATGGCAAACCTGGTTCATTTCCCGCAGATCCTCTTAATCAGAGCAAAAGGCAGCTTGTCTGTGGGAGGATTTTTTGCTCATCCACAAAGGAAAGGACTCTACCCAGTGCACTACACTGCCACACAGTGTTGCACTGGTGTTGGGAGTCCTTAGCTTTTGGCCTTTGCAAACATCCGTTGGGCTAAGTATATGTGTTTCTGCCTGGAATTATTTTGTTAAGTCTGGTTTTTCCCCCCCCCCCTTGAAGTGTCCTTGATGAGATCCATGACAAAATAAAAATAAATCATCGGGGAGGCGGGGGAGAATCTAGTTTGAGAACTGTATGTATCCCATTTTAAGTATTCTGTTCTTTTTGCTGGTTTCATTAAAGGGCACAACCATGAATGGGCAGCATTTTGCTAAGCTGGAACTGAGAATTGCCATTTCCCTCCCTTTTCTCTTTTTTCTACCAGAAGACATGCATCTTTCATTTCTTTGTGCAGTGTATTTTCTTTTAGATCCTCAGGTCCTGGGACCACCAAAGTCCCAGCAGTTTGCTGATTCCAGTCCTAGTGGAACAAGCCCAGTTTCTTCTCAGAATTCCTGAAATGTGGGCAGAAATCCCATATTTGACGGCACGGTTTTTATTTTGCTTTTGTTTCGATGTTCTATCCAGTAATATCTAGGCTTGTACAAACAACCATGCCATTATCCCAAGAGGTCCAATTTCATATCAGAGTAGAAAGTAGTAACATTGCCTGAAACCTAGGAGAATTTAAGCCACTAATAGGTTGCATCCATGGGTTATTTTATCACCTTCCAAGCCAATTTCATCACACCTATTTAGAATGGGTTGTATTTGATAGCAAATCCATTTAGTCATGTTGGGAAATCTTTCTCCTGATTTAAAAAAAGCACAATTTTTAAAGAGGGGAAATCCTGATTTGTTAGGCTTTTTTTCTTTTTTTCTTTCTTTCTTTTTCCTCTTGAACCTGTCCTAGTGGAGGGACCCAACACCTCAGGAAGTTAGACCTGTACCTGTGCTCTTCATTTGTATCACTGCAGCTGCCTTACTGGAGTGAGTTGAATGCTTTTGCTCTCTTTTTGTTTTAAGTCTGTTGAACTTCAGTTTTGCTTTACTGGCAATTTTGGATTCCAAGAGATATTTTGGAAACCTTTGCTTCCACAATCCCAATTCCTTTAGAAACAAAAATGCTGCCCTGAGGAGTTTTTGTGTGCAATTCTCACTGCTGGTTCGTCGTTGGACCAGTTGTCTGTGGGATGAAGATCTGCAACTAGCAATGCAATTTTTTTCTAAATCTGCTAATCTTTCCAACTTAGAAAAGTGTGTCCTTGATATATGTTTTTGTTTTTGTTCTGTGTGTGATAAATCAAGGCTATTGCAGAACAGTAATTTTGTTATTTGATTCAATGGAATTTCTTTGCTTAAAAAAAAAATAAAGAACTTAACTGAGTTCGCAATGAGGAGTTGTGTCTCATCATTACTCTTTACTCGGACAGGAATAGATAGACTTGGGATTTAGACTTCGACGTGTATTATTTTTCCCCAGAGGTCCAACCACCAAAACCAAACAGATGCAGAATTGTTGTTGGGATGGCAGAGTCAAATGCGTTGGGGTGATTTCAGGTAGAGGCAGTTAACTACTGCAAGCAATCAGTCTCTGTTTAATATGCATATACAGATCTCCATATACAAACACACATTTTAACCTGAAACAGTTTATTGTTGAAAACTCCTGTGTCTGAAATTAGACTAACATAAAGTTCTCGACAGATGATGCTGACAACCCGCTGATGCTCCCATTTTAAGGTTGACAAACGCTGCATATAAGATACAGAACTTGCTATTTTGCACATTTAATTTAGCTTGCAGTTTATAATCTACTGGAAGTGTTACACTGTAATTTAGTTTTTGTACGTTCCCAGTTTAGGAAGTGTGGAAAGGAAGTGAAATAATGTAGTACAGGAGCTATTGCAAATATTTCCTGTGCCAAATTTCTCATAAAGTCAGCTAAGAGCTCGCAACAGATTACTATGTTTTGTATGGATGGCATTTCAGCTAAGATGCTTATATGCTACAAAAAGACAATCAGCTGTAGTGCTCAGTGTAAAGAGAAATGCCTACCCCCTTCAAAATAATGGTATTAGTAATAATAGGAGCCTAAAAATAGTAGGAAAACATGAAAATATCTTAGGTCTGGGAATTTAAGAAATATGAATAAACCAGAAGAAAAGGAGTTTGAAGGGTACAGAATGTGAAAGAAAAAAAATGGCCAAAGTTGTGTATAACAAATGTGATTTGAAAAACAGTTTCTCTGCTTCATGGCATTCCTTTGAGCAACGAATACGGTGGTAGTGTTTACAGGGCCTCTAGTCTAAAGGCCTGACTAAATAAATAGATTTATTTAACTCCCTCTCCCAGCTCTCAGAAAAAGTCAAGTGAGCGTTCAGATTTTCTGTGAGTTGGGGAAAGATCATTGTGCCTTGAATTGGTTTGGAGCAAGTTACAAACTGGCACAGACTGAAAGATGAAAATTGAAGGGCTTCGGCTGTTTCCAGCTTTCTGCTAACTGAGAGACAGAGTTCTCGGTCTTGCCCTTCTCATGGGGGAATTAATTTCTGGGAGATGGCAAAGAAATGTCTGATCCCACCTCTCTTCTCTGCATAAGATCTTATTGTCTCCCGGAGAGCGAATTTAGGCTACTCATGTGGGTGGCTTTCTGCATTCAGAAAGGCCCCAGTCTCTCTGCAGCCTCAGAGTGTGTGTCCTGTTTGGCTTGAGTAAAAGCCAGTCATCAAATAAATGACTCTCTTGTAGGCTTCCTCCAATGGTTTCTATTTCAGAGGGACCCCTGCTGGTCTCTTTCACAAACCAAACAAGCCTAGCATTTAGCCGTATGAGCGGGATAGGGAAAGAGGTGGCGACTGCTAGAGATCTGATTTCATGGAACAAGGAGTAGAACAGAAGGGGTTTCTCTTTGGATAGTATTTCTGGTTCCCATTGAACAAGCCACAAGGGGGTATTGCCCCAAGCGCAGGATATGTGGATAAAGAGGCTCACTTATCATCTCTCTCTGGGCTCCTGGTTTGAATTTTACACTTGGGGAAATGCAACGGACCATTGTCTTGTAAAGACTCGGCATTTGACGGAGGACGAGCTGAATGTTTGCAGCTATATGTGATGGCCAGATTAGATAGCCATCTTAGGATGCATGTGATTGAAGGGCCCACTACCCAAAACAACACAGCCCGGCCTGTAATCCATCTTTTCTAGGGTCCTCTTGAGAAATGAGCATGAAAGACATATAAGAAGCCAGATTTATACAACATGCTAAGCTATCATATAAGCTTATTTTGGTTCAGTGTTTAGGTGAACCCAACACTATTGTGTAGCATACCTTCATAGTAGGAATCAGTGGCTGAAGTTACATGTTGTGATAAATCAGATCATTAGTCTAGCCACGGTCTCCGCAACATGGTTACCTGCATATCAAAATATCCTCAGCATCCATCCAAGCTTCCTTCAAATGAAGGTGATCTTCAAAAAAACACTATTTTTGAACTGGCTGAAGTTTTTAAGAGGCTGCGAAGTCTCCCACTGTTACTCTTAGCTGAGACCTCACAACCGTTTAAGGAAGAGGATATTAGAATCTTGTGAGATTTCAGGCAGGCATGAGATGATGGTCATTCCGGGGGAAAAAATGCACACACTAGTCTGCAAAATTGCAAGATGATGCTGGACTTACGGAAGCAGGAATTTTTCCAGCTATATGTGAAGAAGTAAAAAGCTGAGTCTGGGACCTTCCATAGGCAAAGCCAGTGCTCTGTCTTTGAGATATGGCTGTCCCCTGGGATGAACTGAAACCCAATAAAGTAAGCAGAATAAGACAAATTACTAAATAAGACAAAAATGCATCTGTCGCTGATTGGTACTGCCCAATTGCTTAAAGCAGGTTGGTCTCGATCTCTTTTAAAGTACGGAGCATTCAAACAATCCTGGTGATTGGGGCGTTTCGTTTACTAAGGCAATTTAAACCAAAGCATGCGTGTTATTGGAACCATTTCTGTTTGCTACAAAACTCAGCTGAAACTGAAAAAGTCTGGAAAAACTCAGTTGGCCTGAGGGTTTCTGTGGAGACTTCCTATTCTATTCCATGGGTTCTCCCCGCTCCCAACTTAGAACCATCTTCCAAAGCTCATCAGTATTGTGCTCCTAAAATATGCAACTGTGGGTGAAGACATACTTTTCCAATGTCCTAGACCTAATAACCCAGTGCTAATCTGGTCCATTGCACCAGCACCTGTTCGGCTCAGAGTGAACCAAACCAGTAATGCCTTCTTGATAGCATCCCCACCACAGGCATTGGTGGTTTTCTCCTCCTGCTTCCTTGCTTTTCCTCAGTGGGGAGAGCTGAGATAGAGTGACAGCAGTGGCTTCTGGACAGGAGGAACCTCTGCCTTTGATGACAGGGTGGCTACAATGCAAAGAGATACAATCAGAGCTTATGATCACAATCTGTTTTCTCCATCAGTACTATGTTTCAAAGAAAGGCTGAGGCTGGTCTTCCACCTCAGGCTGCTACTTTTTAGAGAGTTGTGTCTTCCGTGTCCATCGAGGTCCCAAAAATCTTCTCAGCAATGACTTTGCCATCATATGGGGGGAGGTTGCCTCCAAAATCTGCTGGCAAGATATCAGCATCTATCTCTTGGAAGAAGGAGTCCAGTTCATCACCGTGCACAAATACCTGAGTACAAAAGGAAAGGGGTGAGCAGAAGAGAACTGGGTTTCACTGGGGGCTGCTTGTCCTGCTGTTTTTAAAATCTAATTTTAGCTGTTGGGAATATGTTTCCCAACATATTCAGGCAAGAGACACCCAAGCCCTGTATGGTAAGCCTTAAATAATTTTAACACTTGTTTTAAACAAACAAACTACACCCACACATTTCTCTCTGGAAAAGAAAGAAGAATTCAACTCTCTACCCATGTGAGCAATGACGCCTTATTTACCACCTCTTTCCCCATTCCCCACACAACCTCCAAAAACATTACATTGGACTTCCATCTATCAAGAAGTTAGGCATTATCTAAGAGGTAGGAGGGATGGGAGCTGCAAATCTCCAATACTTAACTGGCTTACAATGCCTGTGCCTATGGTCGAAAAAGAAAACAACATATACCGTACAACTGTACAACTCACCCTTTCCAGAAGCTTGATCTTCAGGAATGGTTTGACAATGTTGTAGGTGGTGGTAAAATACCAAGGCTGATGGATGAAATGGATGGCTTTGAACCGAGCTGGAAAGGAATCCTGGGAATTCCAAAGATAAGTGTGAAAGCCAGAAAAATGGAAAACTGGGGTGGCTTAAGCAAGGTCTCATTTATCAGGAAACTACATTTCTTCTTAGCCCTGTTCACACAACATCTCATCCACTAAACGAGTCACATCTCCCTATCTGTGATTTGGCAGGGCATAGTCACAGCAACTGGGTCAAAAAATGAACCTGTTGTGAATACAGAGTCGTCTCCACCCCCTATTTTCAGCTGGAAGAGCCTTGTATTTCGTAAGCCGCTGCATCAGGAGAGTCCTGGCAAGGCTAGGGCCACCGAGTCTAACCTGCAATAATGCAGATGATCTCTACATGGCAGCAACATCTGTCTCCTGCCATCTAACAGAGTCACTGGTCTGAGATGGGTGGCTATATAAATTGAATAAATAAAATAAAATAAAAGGTCTTTTTTCAGTCAGGCCTGGTTGCCCTTGGCAAGGGTTCATTATATCAGTAGTCCTGTGCACATGGATGGGCCAGCCAACCAGGCTAGGTGTGGCTTGGTCACTGCAGGGAGTGTCTGAGAAGTGTTCTCTGTGCTGCCAAACCTTGACCGAGAGCTCTATAATATGGAGGTCTTCTTTTTTCACTCTTGGAGGTCTAGGTAGATGAAATGGGTTAACTGAGAGGGTTTAGCTATTTTCTTAACATGACCGATGGGGTGGAATTATTAACCCTTTGCACAACTCAGTCTTTACAGCTAAATCTAACTTTCTTGGGGTTTGCTGTGTCAGTTAATCTTTTGGGGTGTTCCCACACTACACTCCAAACCCTCAATATAGTTAGGCATGTTAGGGCAGTAGAGTGGTTGTGGGGAAGGAGGTCTGAGGCTCATGATTTTGGGATGGATGTTTATACCACATAGGCTTCCTCATCCTGGAGTCATCTACCTCTTATTGCTACCCAACTGGTCTCATGAAAGATGACAGATCTTCTACAAAGCCTTCTACAACCTGGTCCCTCCAGGTATGTTGGACTACACGTTATTCACCACCCTGGCTCAGGATGATCCCAGTTGTTGTCCAACACATCTGATGGAAGTCCATTTGAAAAGGCTAGTCTAGAACATCACTGAGTTGGTTGCTATTTAGGCTGTCCCAGAACCAAGTGAAGAGAAAATGTAAATTCTCCTTTCTCATTCAAGGCAAGAGCACTTCCACATTATTGCTTTTTCCACTCCTCAAATTCTCAGAAGCAATTTGAATGAAATCTATCATTGTCCTAGCTTCTGGCAACTTGGAAACGTTGAGAAGTGGGAATCACTTTCCTCTGAGCTGTCAGAGGTTCTGCAGCAACAAAATCATCCCCCTTCTCCCTCCCAAGAAAAGAAAACCTCCAAGTAAACAGGAGGTTTGCATGCTGGTGGTCCATTGACAAAAAGAAGGAGAAACTGAACAACTTGTGTCCATTTCACCCTTGGGTGGGAAAACTGAAGGGGATCTGCAAAGCCACCAAGCCAGCATTCTCCTTACAGGGCCTGAAGCTCAGGTGCCTGGAGAGAGATGAAACTTTTTTTTTTTTAATTTAAAAAATTTTAAAAATTTATCAAGGCAGCTTCCCAATAATGCTAGAGTTGTGGGCTCAGAGACAACCAGGGTTGCTTTAAATGGATGCAGAATCTTTATTAACCTCTTCTAAGAGAGTTGGCATAGCAGGAGGTTATCATGTACTGGGTCTAAGGTAGCTGGGCTTGTTTCTCTTTAATGAAACACTTCACACGCCGCAATGACACAATTTGCCACAAAGGGGCAATGTGATTTGCCTTGGTGACACACTTGATCTCAGCCTTCTCCGGCTCTTGCAAATGATGTTGCCAGCAGCTGAGCGGAAACCTCATCGGAATAGTGTAAGAAGCAGAAGAGAGCAAACCAAACAGTGCAACTGAATCTTTGTTAAAGCAAAGCGCCCCTGCAAAGATCTGCATCGACCTCTCTTTTACATACAGGCAACGGGGCGGCTGAGCCATTGCGTGTCCCGGCCCAGGGGATTTACTGGAGCCCTTTCCTTAGATGCCAAACAATATCGCACAAGTTCACTGGCTTCAAATGTCCTGCATTTGGGGGAGAGATGTTTCCTTTTCTGCTGAAGTGGTCCCCTTGGAACTGTGCCTCCCAGTCCTTCCCTAATGGCACCATTTTGTACCGCAGCCCCATCGCTTGCCCACACATTCTAGGACGATTGCCTTATTTAGGGCAATTTCCTGATGTTGTTCTATCCTTTTAGCTTGTCAAGGCAAGCAGATCGGCCTCACCTGGAGCATGTCCACCATTTTCTTCAGTTCAGAAGGCTTGATACCGTAGGCTTGCTGCATGGTGAATCCCTTGAAGTTTTCAACGATACAGAAGCCATTAATCTGGGTTTCCTCATTCTCCAGCAGCTTCTCCAAGATCAGGCAGTAGGCACGAAGGATCTGTAGTAAAACCATGGGAGAGGAGCAGCTGAGGCGCCAACATCTTTATGGACCTTCCTCTACTGCGCTGGCTTTGAAACATCAGCCATAAAACTTTGTATGAGCCCTGCTGCTGATGCCAGTAAAACAGAAGTCATCATTAAGGATAGGATTGGATTTATACATCATGCTAAGCCATAACGGGGCTTGTTTGATTTTGCACGTGCTGTATGAATCCAGCCACTGTAGTTTGGAAACCATGGCTCCGAGCACAGAATAATGTGTGAACCTCCCAGCCAAATGTGTTTTCTTCAACAAACCATGATTAAAACAAGTCATGGATTAGTGTGATGTGCAAACTAGGCTATCATTATAAACACATGTCTTTCTGGTTTTCCTGGTGGAATGGAGGGCACAGTCAGAGGCTGCAAGTTGTGACGGTTATATGTGGGGTGGATTCCTGCATCAAAGTAACCACACTTGTTGTTAGCTAAGTTTTTAGCATGCCACAGTTAACTGAGTTATTATAGCACACTAATCCATCAATTGGGGTTTCCGAAGCACAGTTTGTTCAGTTCATCTGATGCTAAGCCCTAAATTAAAGCTACTAAATATGGGCTGCAAAAATCCAAATGACCATGAGATGGCAGCAAAGAGATAAAGAAAGCATTAACTCTGTGCTGCCATTTAGCGGTCTTTCAGATGTTTGCAGCGCAGATGTGGTACCTCTACACAAACAAACAAACCATAGTGTAGGGCAGTGTGTGAACCCAGCTTTTATATCAGTGCAGTACAATTCTTAATAGCCAACACCGGTGAATGGATTTTGCTTGTTCTGCTTCTGGGTTTCCTTGTAGAGCAGCACTTCTCAACCTTGACAACTCTAAGATGTGTGGACTTCAACTCCCAGAGTTGCTGGCTTGGGAGTCCACATATTTTAGAGTTCCTAAGGTTGAGAGACACTGTTCTAGAGGGAACAGACTTTTCACTGGCTACAGATACGCCTGACTAGACTAGATATGCCTTTGATCTGATCCAGTAGAGATTCATGCCTGTTGAAACTGATAAGACATCACATGGCTTATTCAAAAGAAAGTCATTTCATTTAATGTTCCCTAAGACAGTCTCCCATCTCTTGGCCGATGTAAATTGTCTGGTCCAACTTAGAGAAGGTCTCTCTAAGTAAATCACTTTAACACTGCAGCCCGCCCTGAAGAAGTAGAAAAGAAATTAAGATCATGAAAACAGAAGAGGATGGAATGGTGGAAGGTCTTTTATCATACCGCAGGCAGAGCTGTATGCCATCTCTCTTCTCCTTTTGCAGTTTGCACCCAGATGTTTTCCTTCCCAGATGTTGCCTCGCCAAAGATGAGGGAAGCTAGCAATTGTCGTTCAGCAACATCAGGAGGGCCACCATGTTTTCCTTGCTTTGAGGGGAGCTATGATTGTTCAAGACTTACAAAAAACTTGCTTTTGTGAGGAACACCTTTACGGTAAGATACCAACCTCATCAAACGTGATCTCTTCGTAATCCCAGTTCTCTATGTTGAACAGCAGCACCACCCGACCATATCTGTCCCTGTTGCACAAAACGCCAGGGTAGCCAGCTTCAATGGTACTACGTATTGCTTCGGGTGCCAGGTTTTCAAAGAGTTCTGGATACTGCTGACGGAAGTTGACGTAACCTGGAGTTAGGGACAGAAGTTCTAACGATGCCACATCAGAAATGCTAAATGAATGAATGGCTCAATAATTAAAACCTGAAGTCTCCAAGGTGGAACTAGCAGCAGAGGTAGGGTTTTCCAATTAGAGCTGCCTACTTTCAACCACAAGTTAATCAACTCTGATCAATAGATCA